GCTGGCTCCATGCACCAGGAGTCCGACGTGGATTCGATCCTGGGTCTCCAGGATCACGCCCCGGGCCAAAGGCAGGCGCCAAACCGCTGCGCCACCGAGGGATCCCGGCAAATTAAATTTAAATTCTAATTCTCTAGCTGTTTCCCTCCTGTTTTCCCACATCGTCAATACTATCACCAGGAATATGCTCATCAGTATGAAAACCTGTTTTTATCCCATCTTAAAAAATTTTTTTGACTTCCTCTCCCCTCCTCAGCTCCCGTGCCATTTCTGTGCTCTCTTTTACACCTAAACTGCCAAGAGTCGTCTGTACTCTTCCAGTTTTTTCTTTCTTTTTCTTAATTCCACTCCGGTCAGGCTTTTGTCCTTACTGCTCTATGAAAAGTGCTTTTATATGATTAATATGAAGTCTCTGACTTCCATATTGCTATTTCAGTAGTCCTCTTACATAATCTTTCAGGAGCATGAGCTAAGCTTGATTACTCCCCCTTTCTTGATACACTGTATTCCCTTGGTTTCTGGAATTCTGGAGTCTTGATTTACTTGCTACCTCTGCGGTTGCTCCTTCGTCTCCTTTCCTAGTTCTTCATGTTGGATGCCTCGGGCCTGGGTCATCTTCTCTCTTATGTTCACTGCCTTGGTCCAGTAACGAGTTTTAAAACCTATCTGTACTCCAGTGACTTCCATATTTTAATTTCCTGACTAGGCCTTTTTTTTAAGTTTTTGTAAAGTTACTTATGAAACTGCCTATTCGACATCTTCAAAGGGCTGTTTAGTACATCTGTCCAATGTGACCCATCTGAAACCAAACACCAAGGCTTTCCTTCTTAGTCTATTCTGTGTGCAGTGTTTTCCATTCCAGTTGATGATAATGCCATGCTTCTTGGACATGTCAGATGACAACTGAAACAATTCAGTAATGAGTTTGATGTCCTTGATTCCAGAGAAGATGATCCATGGGTTGAGGGAGTACACTGTCTAACAACCTGTGGAGCACTCTAACTGAAGGATTTGGGGCAAGGGCAAGTTTTATAGAATGTTAGAAGAGGCAGTACTGAAGCAGGGCCTGATTGATTAGAACATTGGCAACATATAAGGCAAGCAGGCCCTCTTCTAGAGTAAAATAAGCTAACTAAAACAGAGTTGGAGGATGGTGACCGATGTTAGGTTTCCTTGGCAATGAGGTTTTCCCACAAGTGCAGGTAGACTTAAGTTTAGATTGGTGACATGGGCTGGGCTACTAAAGTGAACTTCATTTTGTGAGTCTTGATAGATGAGACAAAAGCCTTAGAGTCATATTTTACTCTGTTTTTTCATCCCAGATGCATTGGGAAATCCTACTTAGTGCCACTTTTAAAACAAAATGTAACTACTACTCACTATCGCCTTTGCTGCTATACTGGTCCAAGTCACTGTTACTCTCACCTTGCCTCCTAAACTTACACTCAGCTTTAGCTTTTGCCCCTCATAATGTATTTTTAACATTGCAGTCAGGAAGTTTTTTAGATGTAAATCAGTCATGTCCCTGCCTGCTCAGAATCTTTTCTTTGTTCCTCATCTCACTTATAATAGAAGCGAATGTCTTTATAATAGCCTTCAAGGCCCTGCAAGATCCAAACCTCTTTTGCTTCCCTGATTTCATCTGCTTACTCTCTCGTCCATCCTTACTTTGCTCTACCTTGAATGCCTCAAGCATGCTTCACCCTTAGGGTCTTTAGGGTGACTGCTTCCTCTGCCTGGAATACGCCTCCTTCAGGTATCCCTCGTGGCCAGCTCCCCACTGGCCTCCTTATAGCCCAGTTGTATGTTTGAGAAGAAAGCCTGTGAGGGGATTAGTTGGGCTGAAAGGAGTAAAGGATAGAGGGGCAGAGATATGGCAGATGTTGAAATCCTCTTGGTGAAAAAGAGCCAGTGGTCAAGATAGTCTTAGATATACTAACAATTGGTGAGTTCAGCCTATTGTTACTCTGAGTAAAAATGAAAGCAGAAGCGACTTTGTAGCAAATTAGTAGAGATGAGGAGGGCTTCAGTTAGCCAGTGGAAGTGTTCACAAATCAGAGTTCATAATTTGAAAGACCCTTCACCTATTGAGAAGGCATACTCTTCTGTAGATAGTAGATTTGGTGTCCTGCTTAATTATGATTTAATGATATGCTCTTATGTTTAACGGAAAGTAGGCCAGAGAATTGCTTGAGCATCATTTTTTTGGCTATAAAAGATTAGTAGAAAACATTCAATTTTCAAATTCATCCGTTCAGTATTAGGGGAAAATGTTTCTGAAGTTAATCTTGTATATTTCATCAAACAGAAGAACCAAAATGTGTTTCCTGTTATTTTGCCATCGCTAATAGGTTTCAGAGTCTAACCAGTATTTAAGTTACCTCAAACACCTGTTTACTCCAGTCTTCTGTGCCTTTTTGATTTTTAATTGCAAGATTTATACGATGTTTAATTTTATGAATTGCCAAAATTGCTAATGGAAATAGACTTAGTTGACATTATAAAGTATCCTCTAATTAAGAGGATATATAATGATTTTCCATGTCATAGTCAAGAAAACATTCTATGGGTCTTTCATATTTGCATGCTCTTCCCTCAGGGGGAACAGTAGAAAAAGTGAATTCAGCCATAAAGTTAATACACAAATTTTATGCCATAGTATTACAAATCTGACTCTGAATTTTTCCATAGCCAACACTTAAGAGCAAGGTTACTTACATGATTCACTGAAGTCTTTAAGGTAAAAGCAAACTAGGTGTTAAGGGACAAAGACGGCTAATTCCAGTGTAAAATTTTGAGTTAATATCACTTGTGGGTGCTTATTATAAGAATATTGTGATTAAAATAGGTACCTGGGGCAAGACAGTCTAGTAGCTTTTAGGATCATCAGTGTTCATGGATATAGGATGTGAGTGCAATCTGGCTGTGATGGCTGTCACCTCATTGATCAGCAGGGTTGATTTAGCTGATCTGTCTGCCTAGGCAGGTGTCCCCTCCTTCCCTCACCACTCCATATGTGTGCCTCCTGAAGCTGCACACTTGGTTGAAGAGGATGACCTGCCCCAATGGAGGAGGACCGTTCTTTGGTCAAGGGTATACAAGTAGCTGTATTTCCCTGCTAGAACCTCCAGACAAGCTCTCAGGGTCCATTTGTAGGAGAACATAGGGTAGTCAAGGTTCCAAGACTTCAGACACATTCAAATGCAGCCCTGCATGTGACCATTGCCTTTCTTAAGAAGTTTAAAAGAAGAAAAAACTGTCCATGGATGTAAGAAGTATCACTTGATTTCACAAAAATTCAGTGTTAGTGCTTCTTAACCTGTTTTTTGGTCATGTACTCTCTAACATTTTTATATATTTTTATCATGAATTTGCTAAATATACTGATTGTAAACTCAAGAGATTCTGATCCAATAGGTCTCAGTTAAGTTTTAGAAACTTATATGTGAAACTTCCACAGTTGGTGATACTGATGTAGCTTCTTGTTAGACCACAGTTTAGAGACCTCTTCTGGGTTATAGTTTTAGGGAGTTGGCAGAGTCCATGTAGTCAGTCTAGAACCTTAACTGATACAAGTGACCAGCATCTGTAGCAACGTTATATAGTAAAAACAACGAGTTTCATAGGTGTGTTTGGAAATGTTTCAGAGACATGTTAGGAAATGAATGACTTGTGTGGAAATTTATTGGTGAAAGCTAGTCACGTGGCCACAGAAGTAATGACTGAACACATACTGTCTTTCTCTTTTTATAAATGTGAAGAGTTGATGACACTTTTTTCTTAATATTCAACCACTTCACATTCATGGGATAAACCATGTGTGATTATAAAGTATCATTCTTTTGATATACTACTTGTTTAACTTGCTAATATTTGTTTAGGATTTTGGCACCTATGTCCTTGTTGAATTTGTCTAGTTTCCATTTCTTGTGCTCTTCTCACCAGTTTGGTGTCAGGGTTTTTGTTAGCATTAAAAAAAGGGGATGGATATTTTTCTGGTTTTGTGGTTTTCTCAGTTTTCAGAGTTTATATAGACTCTCAGTATACTTTTTGTGGAGAATTTAGGGCAACTATAAAATTAGAAGGCACAGTCTCCATACAGAAGAAAGACCACCCTCACTTCTGATACCAGCTACAAGTTTGGAGGGTTCCCAAAACCACTCTTAGGTTCAGTAATCCATTAAAAAGACTCCTAGATCTTACACACTTATAGATCATTGTGACTTATTAGGGAGAAAGGATACAGATTAAGATTTGCCAAAGAAAGAGACATACAGGGCAGAGTCTAGAACGGTTCCAAACAGTGCTTTTGTTGTCCTCTCCACTGTAGTCATATTGCATCTCTCTCTTGGCCTTAATGTGTGACAGTATGTATGGAATATTGCTAGCTAGGGAAGTTTACCCAAGGTGGAGGTCAAACTCACAACCCCAAGATCCAAAGTCATCTGCTTCACTTACTAAGCCAGCCAGTTGGCCTTGTCCAGAGTTTTTATTGGGGCTTCATTATGTAGGCATGACTGGTGGATTGCTTGTGGATAATCTCCATTTTGGTTAACCCAAAACCACCTCCCAAAGTTACAGTGGTGTTTCTGGATTGGTCAGCTCCAACCCTAGGGACTTTATGGGTATGTCCAGTTCCCTTCCTGAATCACATTTGTAAGATTATCCAGTTTGACCTATGAGACAAACAACAACTTCTTATCAGACACACATTCCGAGAGTGCAGAGATTACCTACTAGAAGTCAAGGGCAAAGACCAGACCTTCTCCTTGGGCAAGGCCAAATTCTTTATACATTTGTACAATTAATTTTTGTTTTTATGGTGTCTTGCTATGATTTCTTGAAACCAAATTAAGTGTATAGGGATTTCATTACAGAAAACTTTTAAATTTTGAAACTTGCATTTCTCTAGTTAGCTCTTAAAAGATAAAAATAACGGACACTTTTGATTTAACTGCATTGAAATTAAACTACTTATCTTTTTTTTTTTTTTCTTTAAGAATAAAGGTTCACTTCAATTTGAAGACAAATGGGATTTCATGCGCCCGATTGTTTTGAAGCTTTTACGCCAGGAATCTGTTACAAAACAGCAGTGGTTTGATCTGTTTTCGTAAGTAATCCATTAACTCTTTTTTTGCTAACATAAAGGAAATTTTGGTGGTGCATTTCTATATCCAAATGGAATGCTGACTCTGGACTGTTTACCTGTTTACAATTATTACTAGTCCAAGGCCTCTTCTACATTCAGTGATTTGTTAGAGGGATTCCATCACACTCAGAGCTGTGGTTTATTACAGCAAAAGGATACAAAGCAAAATCAGCAAAAAGGAATCCCACATGAGATAAAGTCTGGGGAAAAACAGGCTTCCCAGAGTACTTGTAGAATCATACAGGCCTCGGTTTCTCCTGCAATAGGATTGACAACAAATGTTATCTGTTAACTACCTGAGCAGCTATTGTAGACTCAGTAACTAGAGTGTTTTTGTTTTTTTTTTAAGATTTTATTTATTTATTCATGAGAAACACAGCAGAGAGAGAGAGAGGCAGAGACACGGGCAGACGGAGAAGCAGGCTCCATGCAGGGAGTCTGATATGGGACTCGATACTGGGACTCCAGGATCAGGCCCTTGGGCCAAAGGCAGGCGCTAAACTGAGCCACCCAGGGATCCCTCAAACATTTTTAAAGGGGGGTTTCTGTCACCTCCCACACCTTTTGTCCTGATCATTTATCTAGTGAGCAGCCTAGAAAATATCTCATTTTTAGAGGCAGCTGTGTTTAACAACCAAATTGCTCTATTAAGGTATATGTACAAGGAGGGTGAGGTGAGGGTGAGAGAAGTAGAATCAGGTTATTATTAATCCATTGTTGAAAAGTGAACACAAGTCAGTCACAGTGAGATATTGCTGTGAGGACGTCAAGAGGAGTGGGTCCTGTCCTCCCCCTGACAGCTTTTGGCAGTGACTGTGAGTTAGGAATGCAGTTAGTGTCTGCATTGGGTATAGAGAGTCAGTCAGCTGCTTGACTTCAGGTGTCTCCATCAGAGAATAGCTCTTTCCTGTAGCCAGAATCCATGATGTCTTCAGTTTATGGCTCTGCAAAGGGTGTCTGAAATCTGCAGCAGTCCTCACGTTAGCATCCTGTTCACTGAGCATATGCTTGCTTTAGTTCAGCACAGCTTATGTTGAGCTTGAAACAACCAGTAGCAGACAGTATCAAGTTTCAGCTCAGAATCAGATCCAGGCAATTAAGATTTGTGAATTCAGGATTTGAAAAAAGAGAGCAACTTTTCTGCAGCAGCAAAGCCAACATGGCTACAGACACACAATCATGTTCCAAGTGACTAGCAGGACTTTTCTAAGCCCTTTTTATCTTAGCAGTTTTGGAGTCTGAAAAACATGCACATCAGGCTGGAAAATCATCAGCCTTTAAGGGTCAGACGTCTGATTTCACAGGAGCTCAGTGGCAACTAAAAACTGCTTTTTAAAACTCCAAAAGTGAATTTCTGTCTTAAGATTTCCTTTGATTTCATATTGTCTCCCTTTTCTTGGACATACCAATAGGTAAAAGTAATAGTAAATATCACCTGTTATGGAGACTTTTTCTGTTTATTCAAACACTTTAAATTCTAGTCTCCTTACCAGCAGTTCAAAGCAAATTGTGTCTACTAAGTTTTGGGGGGACAACCTTTCCTGATAGGTACAATCCCTGTAGTACTTCTGAAAGTACAAGCATATAACATTTTACGTCCTTTTGGATCATATATCCAGATACCATCGCCACAAAATACAAAGCCATCTTTTTAACCTTACCTTTCTTCCCATTATAAATGTATTCAACCCCCTAGCAGCATTGATAGCATTAATGTTACAGTTTATGGGGGATCCTGGACGGATTGCTTCAACAGCCCTGGGACTGAAGAGACAGCTGGAGTGGTTTCCTCTCCCTCGAAGCACCCCACCCCCAGCATTTCCTCCCTTTTTTTTTTTAAATTTATTTATTCATGAGAAACACACACACAGAGAGAGACAGAGAGAGAGAGACAGAGAGAGGCAGAGGGAGAAGCAGGCTCCATGCAGGGAGCCTGACATGGGACTCGATCCTGGGTCTCCAGGATCAGGCCCTGGGCTGAAGGCGGTGTTAAACCACTGGGCCACCGGGGCTGCCCTCCTCCCCCCTGGTTTATCTAAGGCTTTCCCCAACCCTGGAATCCGACTTAATTATTATTTCCTCCTGGCTCAGTGGGAGAATAATGCCAACATTTGACATTTTTGGCTCACCCAAAGCCTAACATTGGGCCTTTTCTCTTCCTTGTTGGAGGCAAGAACAAAACCAGCGGTATCACCCAGGCCGTGCTTTTTCTCCTGTCGTTTGGGTCCACATGGGTCAAACACAGCCAGGGGATTGAGCCAGCCAACTCTCCAGGGCTTAGAGTCATATTGTTTTCAGCTTTCCTAGGTAACTCTTCTCTCTTAAAACATATGTAACTCAGATGCTGTTTCATACCATAGATGATTTTTTTTTTTTTAAAGATTTATTTATTTATTCATTCATAGAGAGCGAGAGAGAGGCAGAGACACAGGCAGAGGGAGAAGCAGGCGCCACGCAGGGAGCCCGACGTGGGACTCGATCCCGGGTCTCCAGGACCACACCCCGGGCTGCAGGCGGCGCCAAACCGCTGCGCCACCGGGGCTGCCCCATACCATAGATGATTTTATAGCCACCCAGACAGCAGCGGTTCATTGTTCAATCACTTTTTCCTTTTACCACATGGTGCTTTCATCGTCTTTCAGTAAGTCCCAGCTGGCCTAGTGAATCTTAACTTCTGACACCTTGAACTTCGGTGATTGCTAGGAATACTCAGGAGGCTCAGCATATAGTCGTATTCGAGGCTATGATTTATTACAGTAAAATGCAAAAAAGATATGGGTGACAAATCCAGGGGAAACCAGGTGCAAGTGTCCAGGCATCCGCTCCCGTTGGAGTTACACAGTAGATATTTAATTCTCTAGCAACTGATTGTGACAGCACATGTGTAGGTCTAGGGCAGTCACATTAGGTAACCTCTGCCTGACATGAACTGAAGTTCCACACTTCTAGATGACAAGCAGGTGTTCAACATAAATCAGATTGTTTGCCTAAGTATTTAGGTACAGTGGGTGATTCTTATCAGGAAACAGAAACTGCAAAATCCAAGTTCCCAGAAACCAGCCAAGGGGCAGCCTTACAAACATGTCTTCCTAAGGATAGCAGTCTCAGACTTGCTCTAACTTTTCTGTGTGTGCTCTAGTGGAATACTAGAGTTGGAAGTTGTAGGTGTGTGACTGAATAATCCACACACATTAAGCTGCTATGCTCATTTTTCTCTTTATCACATAAGAAAAGTCTAATTTCCCTAAGTAGTGTGGAACTTGTTACATATTAATTAGCTTATATGCATAGTTCTCTGCCTTTTGAAAAGTAAAGTTCAATAAGAAACAGCTAAGTCCTTTTAGAAATACAAAGCCTTCATGTATACTTCTATTTTTCTTTATTTTTTTTAAGATTTTATTTATTTAAGAGAGAGCATACACAGGGAGAGGAAGGGGCAGAGGGAGAGGGAGAAGCAGACTCCCCACTGAGCAGGGAGCCTGATGCAGGGCTCTATCCCAGGACCCTGGGATCATGACCTGAGCTGAAGGCAGACACTTAACCGACTGAGGTACCCCTACTTATATTTTTCTTAAATTATTTGATTCAACTATTTTATGTTGAATCTGGTGGCATTTTTTTTTTTTTTTTGGTTTTTGTTTTGTTTTTTGCCAATTTGTGTTGATAATATTTTATCATCTAGAATAATGCTTATTTTCTGTGCGCTCCTGACTGGGAGGAGCATGATGTTCTCTGCTTAAAGTGTATTTTTTTTTTTTAAAGATTTATTTATTCATGGGGATCCCTGGGTGGCACAGCGGTTTGGCGCCTGCCTTTGGCCCAGGGTGCGATCCTGGAGACCCGGGATCGAATCCCACGTCGGGCTCCCGGTGCATGGAGCCTGCTTCTCCCTCTGCCTGTGTCTCTGCGCCTCTCTCTCTCTCTGTGTGACTATCATAAGCAAATAATAAAAAAAAAAAAAATTAAAAAAAAAAGATTTATTTATTCATGAGAGACAGGGAGGGAGGGAGGGAGGGAGGGAGGCAGAAGCAGAGGGAGAGGCAGGCTCCACACTGAGCAAGGAGCCAATGCAGGATTTGGATCCCAGGATCCTGGGATCATGACCTGAGCCAAAGGCAAACGCTTAACCAACTGAGCCACCCAGGTGGCCCTTAAGGTGTATTTCTAAGCAGAAATAGTGAGTACCTTTGTACTTGCTCTAGTTAATGGTCTCATCCCATCATTTTTAAATATTCTTGATCTCCTTGGAGTTACTCAAGGCAGCTCAATATACAGCCCTTTTAGGTTAAACAATTCTTGTATATCTTACCATATTATCACCAAAAATGCAAGCCCTATGTTAATTAAAACCTTTAAAATACCAGGGGCACTTGTGTGGCTCAGTCAGTTGAAACTCTTGGTTTCGTCTGAGATCATGATCTCAGGGTCCTGGGATGGAGCCCCATGTGAGGCTCCGTGCTCTGTGGGGAGCCTGCTTCTCCCTTTCCCTCTGCCCCTCCTCCCACTTGCACTCTCTCTCTGTAAAGTAGATAAATCTTTAAAAAATATATTTTAAAAAACTTCAAAGTTTAGCCTATTTGATCATGAAAATTGATAACATTTAGGTTGCTTATATCTTTCTAAATTTGAGGAACTAAAATATTATTATTAAACTCCCTTGACAACTTGCTCCTTTTCCCCCCTCATATATCCTTTTTTCTCAAGAAGAGTGCTTTTGGCATTCTAGGTGGTTATAAAAGATTGTTCAGCATATTGTGGGATGTTTATCACCTCTAGCCTTCATCCTCAGACACTCTAGTAGGGGACACTCCCTGTACACCCTCACCCTTCATTAGTGAGACAAACAAAAAAAAAAAAAGCTCTGGTACTTTTCCAAGTGAGCTTCTATGGGGATGGTATCTCTCTCAGTTGAGAACTGCTGCTCTAGATATGTACTTTGGTTTGACTTTGGTTAGTGAAAT